TGAAGTGAATGGTTTTTTTTTTCTTTTTTTCACTACGAAACACTGATTAAATAAACAGAAAATATACTACATATTCTTCATTATTTAACATAGTTTGGACGTAAAACCACAGTAAGGTTATAATGAATATATAGATGCTTTATTATTGTGTGTGTGTGTGTGTGTGTGTGTGTGTGTGTGTGTGTGTGTGTGTGTGTGTGTGTGTGTGTGTGTGTGTGTGGCGTCTATGGAAAAAACAAGTCAATATTTGGTGATGAGTAACGAAACATGTATAATTCGTTTCTAATGTTAAAATCTCTAAATCGCTATTAGTATTCCCTAAGTCTTGGCGTCTTTGAGGAGTCGCATCCATATTCGAACATCCGTGTGAGAAAATACACGTTCGCTTATTTAAACTAGCAGAAATACTAGCTGGGTGGATCCAAAGAGAGTGAATATCAAAAGTCTTAGAACTTACTCCCTGTACATGTGATGTACGATGTTTAATATATCGAAAAAATCTTGTTCATTCTGATGATATGGGCGCTCTACTTTTTTGTCATTTATTCAATCATATTTCTTTTTGTTTGTCAATACACAACCGTGTGCCGTATGTGCGTAGGTGTAGATAAAGATGGCATATTTTCGTTTTGTCACAAAATCAAAGTTTTCATATATTATCTTCATATGTTTTTTGATAAAATGACTTGTTTTCTTTTCATCATTTCCCATACACTGATTCAATATACAAAATATATGCTATGTTATCATTTTAGAACTGAACGCAAAACTATAGTAGGACTTCATGTGTGTACTGAGGAACTAAAGTTATTAAAATTTTATTTAGAGTCGTTGGTTTTATAGTGAATACACATTTTGAACCCCTTCTCGCGCAAAATACCGTAAGAAGTTGACAGATAATATGTGTAAATATATACATATACATAATATATATATATATAATATATATATATATATAATATATATATATATATAATATATATATATATAATATATATATATATATATATATAATATATATATATATATATATATATAATATATATATATATATATATATATATAATATATATATATATATATATATAATATATATATATATATATAATATATATATATATATATATATATAATATATATATATATATATAATATATATATATATATATATAATATATATATATATATATAATATATATATATATATATAATATATATATATATAATATATATATATATAATATATATATATATATATATATATAATATATATATATATAATATATATATATATATAATATATATATATATAATATATATATATATATAATATATATATATATAATATATATATATATAATATATATATATATAATATATATATATATATATATAATATATATATATATATATATATATATAATATAAGTACATATACATATATATTTATACGTATGCATATATATTTATATATACATATACATGTGTATAAATATATTTACATATATATATATAATATATATATATATATATATATATATATATATATATATATATATAATATCGGGGATTCGGTAAATCGAGTAACTGGCAGGAGGTTTACTAATTTTGAAGATATTTTTACTATCGGTTTATGTGTAAGAAGGAAAATGGTAATAACTGTAGAAAAGAAAGGCCAATACTGGGGGCAGTCATACTTATAAAATGTACAATCTAACGTTATTCAAATTTCGTCTAATCCCCGGGACAGAAATGACGTGCTTATGTGAGGTCCCGGTTTCCTGCGTAACACTTTCCATTTCCTTTTAGCATCATCTGTTAGCTACTGTAAGGTTTTCTCTTTAGCCGTTTCCCAAACACTGACAATATTTGCCCAAACATTTTTTCAACGCGTTTGAGTTACATGCCTTGAATGGTGACGGAAGGGCTTCCATGTGGTTTTCGTCATCGAACCACTTCGTAACGCCCTTGATGTACGTATTGGGCAGTTATCCTTCACGAATATGGTTGTTTCTGGAAAGGGATAAAGGGTAGCAGCGTTCTGATGGGAGGAATATTTATAATATCACTTTCAAAATATCTGTCTAAATATCTCCCTTTTTTTCTTATTGGTCACATATCCATACCTCGCCGTTTCATAACAATAGGAAATAACAATAACAGCAGGAAATCAGAACATAGAATATGACGGATAGGGCACTATCATCTATAAAGAACACTCTTTAAACAAACTGGAAAAAGATCATGATATTTACACCTATTCTTTCTCATCCAGCAATGGAGATTCCCGTGCGCTCTCTACACACTGCTGGGCGTACTGGAGGTGATGTTGGCTATGTCGTTAGTTCAGCCTCTCTTTGATAACGTTCTGTGGTGAATCCCATCAGCATGTAGCACCGTGTAGCTTGTTAGCAGGAGCTGTAGGTCTTTATATGGTTTTTAGCTGCATTCGTGAAAGGCTCCCTGAACGAGGGCGGTTGTTAAGGGTGCCCTTCTCCCACTTTATTCACCTGTATTCCATCGAGCGGGGGACACCCGACTTTCTGGTTATTTCACTGTGAAGGAGATTTCCCTCATCCCAGTGATGCGGCCTCTATTTACAATTTCAGATTGCATTTCGTCCATCTTGAAAAAAGGTGTCAGCTTGGCACCTCGTTTTCACCTCAGATTCCTCATGTCATTATGACGTCATATACCACCGGACATAATTTCTTTCTTGTTTAGCATATATAAGGTTATATACAATTACGTGTTTTTTTTCCTAGATGGTTCTTCATTCTTCATACTACTCAAGTTCCAGGTGAACAAACAAGCATTTAGATGACTTTATACCTAACGAGAAATAAGATTTTCTATCGTAAACATAAGATTATATATCTAAGCTTCGACATGCACTGACAAATACAGTGCATACGTGTCAGATAAAACTTGAGCGCGAGACTAAATTCCTGTTTTATCAGAATGAACAAGATTTTCCTAACAAGATATCAGATACAATACAGCACATGTAATGGGAGTAAGAATTTAGACTTGTTTCTCACACTTTGTCCAGTAGTGGCTCTGTTGAGTCTGAATCCATTTTGGTTTGGGCTTAGGATTTTCTCAATTTCGGGTTATATTCTATTCCGTAACATAGCATTATATATTTTAGCAGCTGTGGCGGTGAGTGTTATACCTCTATAGTTGGTGGCAAGGGAGAGGTCGCCTTTCTTAGGAAAGGGGATGATGCATCCTTGTCCAAATCTTGATTGTGCTCTGAGTGTAAACTGCGTTACATGACTTAAGCAGGATGTCGTTGAATCGTCTTGTTTTCCAGATTCAGAGGGTATTTCATCAAGACCCGCCACTTTCTTGCTTTTCATGTTTTGTAACTCCTAATTGCCTTTCTTAATTAGGAGTTCGTAGACAATCATGTTTTGGATTTCTAGGTTTTCTACTTTTGGTGTATTACCTAAAAGTTTTTCAAAGTGATTTTTTCCATTTTTCTACTCTTTCTGTTTGGCTTGATGCTTTGAGTTTAGCTTGGACAGTGTTCTTTCTACCACTGATTTCGTTTACATTTTGCCAGGGTAATGAGGATTGTTGATTTTTAGCAGCTGTAGTGATAGTATCAATTTGATTTTGAATGTATTTTTGTTGTTCATTGCGGTAGGTTTCCTCAAGATCTTTCCTGTTATTTCTATATATTTTGATGTTGCCTTGTGTGGGGCAGTTGTTTTTTGTGTGTGCAGCTTGCTTTAGGGTTTTTCGTTTATGTTGAACTCTGGTTTCAATGGTGTGCATTCTTGGTTCGGACTGTAACAGTGTATTTATCTTGAATATTAGTATTGCACATAGATTGAGTCCAGTCATACCTAGGTATTTTTGAGATTTTTCTTTTGTTGACACGTAGGCTGAGTTGGATCTTGCACGATACAATTCGGTGGTCTGAAGAGACTTCTTCAAAGAAGCTATAAGCTTCACAGTTGTGCACTGTTGATCCATTGCTTTGATTCCATTTGGGTACGTGTGGGTCCATAGCTTCCTCTTTTGTTCGACAGAAATAAATATGATTTTGGGATAATTATTTTGTAACAGTGATTTTAGTTGTTTCCAGAGCTTATACAGTAGTTACACATATTTGTGGTTTTTTTAATAGTGTAAGCAGTGTGTCGGTTTGATAATATTTTACAAAGTTTTACAAATATTTTTGTAATGAAAGGCTAACCAATTGTTACACAAGTTTTAGGAGCGAGTGATCAGTTCTGATGTTAATTTTACATAAATATGAGATGTAGCACAGGAAGTGAAGTCTGAGGCTAGTGAAAGTTGGTTTTCCGTACCTGCTCGTATGGAAGGTGCCACTATTATTGGTGACTAACGTGTCCAATAACGTTACTTGGTTATTTTCTTGCATATCACATGTGCCCGGGTGTTTCGAATTAAGATATTTCAGATAAAGGTTCACGTGTGATGGATGTTTGAAAAGGTGAAATGTGTCATCTGTATCGGCGATAATGGACGGGTTCAAACTCAGATGGACAATGTTCGAGCCAATTATACTCGTGATAGCAAAGAAATGCATTAGCGTAGGAAGAGCCTAATGGGGATACCATCGCTACACGCTACATCGTATGTTTGGCTATATCATCAATCATCGAAAATGAAAATTGGATGCTGTAATCCAATTCATATACATGGCATACTCCACATTACCCCAATGCGCTTATCTCATTCAGTCTTTGCAGGGTTTAGACTTTGCCATCAGCCAAATGACTTTAATGTTCAAAGAAAGATTGCGAATACATAATAGAGAGCACAGTTCTTTTCTTCCGAAAGGATCGTTAGTTTCTTTGCTGCATGCTATACTTGTAATTGATTTTAATAAATTTATAATGTGAGTTTGCTGTACCTCCTTTAACAATAATTTCAGAACAAAACAATTAGATAATGAGCTCGTAATGCAGATAGAAACAACTATGATTCCTAGGATGCAACTGATTATGACTGCAACATTACAG